TGCATGTTCCTGGGATTAAGAAGAATCTTATTTCTAGTTTTATTTTAAATAAGGTAGGATTTAGTCAGCCTATTGGGGTAGATTTGTACACCGTTACAAAGAATGATATTTATGTGAATGAAATTGATATGTTTAAAAATGTTGTAAAGAATTTGAAAATGATTTAGTAAGAATTTGTAGTGATAGGGAAACTGTGTGATTCTAGTTTATTTAATGAATTTTATAAACAACATGAAATTATACATGAACAACTGCACCATACTCTCATGAAATGAATGGTAAAGCAGAAAGAAAGAATAGAAATTTTACTGAACATGTTGTTGCAATCATGTTGAATTCTATTGTTGCACCTCACTGGTGGAGGGAAATTTTTTTGATTGTTTGATATGTCCTGAATTGAGTTCCCAAGTAAAAAAGTAAGATCTCACCTTATGAGATGTTAAAGAAAAGACAACTAAATTTCTTATTTAAGAACTCATGGTTGTTTGTCTTATGTCAGAATTTTGGATCTGAAGCGAGTTAAACTCGCTAATAGAGCCTACGAATGTTTATTCATTGGGTATGAAGCAAACAGTAAGGCATATAGGTGTTATGACCTGAATTCTAAAGTGATCATAGAACAAAATGATGTTTAATTCTATGAAGATAAATTTCCCTTCAGATCAAGAAATAGTGGGGGACACGAGATCGAATCACATTCATGTGATAAGAAACATTGAAAGCAACAACGAAGTAGAAACAAAACTTTATGAATTAAAAGAGTAAGAGTTAATAAAGAATATGAGTATGATTATATGGCTTGTAATGTAGAAGAAGATCAAATAAATCTTCAAGAAGTCATGTCATCTATAGATGCAGATTTATGGATAAAACCTATTAATGATGAGATAAATTATGTGGAATCTAACAAGACATATCACTTATTAGACTTGCCTCCTGGTTGTGAACCAATCAATTATAAATGAGTTTTGAAAAAAGAAACTAAAACTTGATGGAACAATTGAGAAGTTCAAGGCTCGCCATGTAGCCAAAGATTTTAGGCAAAGAGAAAATGTAGATTTCTTCGATACTTTTTCACCAGTCACTCGAATTATATCCATTAGAGTACTAATTTCAATGTCAATTATTTATAACTTAGTAGTACACCAAATGGATGTTAAAACAACTTTTTTTAAATTGGGACTTAGAAGAAGAAATCTATATAGACCAACTAAAAGGGTTTGTGATTTATGGGAAAGAAAATATGGTTTGTAAGTTAGATAAGTCTTTATATGGGTTAAAACAAGCTCCAAAGCAATGACATGGAAAGTTTGATAACTTAATGATATCGAATGGGTACAAAGTGAATGAAAATGAAAAATGTGTTTATAAAAATCTGAGAATCGCATTTGCACTGTTATATATATATATATATATATATATATATATATATATATATATATATATATATATATATATATATATATATATATATATATATATATATATATATATATATATATATATATATATATATATATATATATATATATATATATATATATATATATATATATATATATATATATATATATATATATATATATATACACACACACACACACACGATCTACTCATATTTGGTTCAAACACTCACGTCGTTTATGATATGAAATCATTGTTGTGCAACAAATTTGATATGAAAGACCTCAGAGAGGCGAGTGTGATTCTTGGTATTAAGATAACGAGATATGAGAAAGGAATTTCTTTGGATCAATCACATTATATGGAAAAGATCTTAAATAAATATAATTACTTTGACTGTAAACCTGAGAGCACACTATACGATCCAAATATGAAACTGTTTAAGAATACTGGTGAAAGTGTTAGACAAACAAAATATGTGAGCATCATTGGCAGTCTTAGGTATGCCACGGATTGTACTAGACCCGACATTGTATATATCATGGGATTGTTGTGCAATTGTACTTGTACTTGAAGGATACAGTGATGCAGATGTGAATACCTTATCAGATGATTCCAAAGCAACTAGTGGTTACATTTTCAATATAGTTGGAGGAGCTATATTTTGGAAAACAAAGAAACAAACTATCCTGCGTCAGTCCATGATGGAGTCTGAGATGATAACATTAGCGACTGCTAGTGAAGAAATAAGTTGGTTAAGATGCTTGATAGTTGAGATCTCTTAATGGGAAAAAATCTATGTCAACTATGTTGATCCACTATGATAGTATTGCGACTATTGCAAAAATTGAGAATTGTTATTATAATGGTAAAAGACGTCAAATTAAAAGAAAGCACAACACTGTTAGATATTGTATCTCTAAAGGATCTATAAGAGTGGATCATGTATGCACCGATAAAAATTTAGCAGGTCCTTTGATGAAAGGATTAGCTAGAAAGAAAGTATATAATACAATATATAAGATGAGACTAATGCCTATAAGAATATGAGTTGCTCATGATGGTAACACGACCTAAATAACTGGAGATTCCATGAAATAGGTTCAATGAGTAATAACATATTGTGAGTAATATGAGGCGATCATGCTAGAGTAAATAAGAGAAGCATGAATCCTGAAGCGATAAGAGGATGATATAATATAATCTCTTAATGAGATATATACTCTATATGAGGGAGTACCTAGGCTACATGAGTACTCTTTATAGACTCACATATGTGATTGTGGAACTTAGGTTGGTTCCTATAGAATTTCGAGGCAGAATTCCTAGAGCCTTCACTAAATCGGAATACACGTACAGGACCATTAAAGCACAGACTATTAGAATACACCTTAAGAAAAGGCCGTGTGCATATTTTATGTTTGAGATAGAGTTCAAGATATTCGCGGCACTTTTGTTGAATCGAAATCCTACTTGCTACATAAAGGTTCAAGTCATAGACACCTTTGTTTATGCACAATCTTAGAAACGTTTGACGTTACTTCTAAAATCACTTTTTTACATTCAAATGGAGGATTGTTGAAACATGCCCATGCTCCAATATAATGAATTAAAAAAATTCCTTAAGTCCCACATTGTTATAATTTATTTGTGGTTGTGTTAATTGAAAAAAGCTTTAAGTCCCACATTGCTTAGAATACCTTCTTGGCTAGCTTACTTCATTATATAAGGAGTGCACATGTTTCATTCCAAAACACACCAAAAACTATTTATTAGTTTTTTCTTTCTCACTCTCATAACTCCGCGTCTTTCGAATTATCGAAGTGCCAACTTCTCCTCCTTTCATTCTACTCATTGGATTTTTCGAGTACTTTCTTGAATTCTCTTTAGAGAATATATTAATTTCTTCTTGTTTGAGTTGAGAAATTATCAAGTAAATTTTTTGAATTCTATTTAGAGAATTATTTGAGTTTCTCTTTGTCTGAGATATTCTTTTGAATGGTCGAATGACCATTATTGAATTCTCTTTGGAGAATTATTGAAATTTCTTTGTTTGAGAAATTATTACGATTGCCAGTTATATTAGATACTACAATGGTATTTATACCATATCCAAATGGTCTTAGTACCATCATAGAGTGTATTTCTAAATCGATTATTTACCGTGCAAGTAGTAATCATACAATATAGAACGAAACTATTTTATATTTGAGGCGGCGCGATAGTTTGACTGTTTTGCATAATTTTGGACAGTGATGCGAAACGTCTTAAAGAGAGTGATCTAATCCGCGACTTGTCCCGATAATTTTCTTTGTTGTAATTTTTGAAGACCGAAAACAAAAAATCTCATCTTTAATTATTTTAGAGTTAGTAGTTATTTTGGCCCCCTGTTATATAGACAGGTTTTGAAAAATTTCCCTGTAAAATTTTTTTTTCAAAAATTCCTCTGTCATACGAAGATTCATTTGTTTTGTCCCCTCAAAAAATTTAAACATAAAAAGTAATAACATGGCAGAGAGATTTTTCAAAAATCGTCAATTTAACACGAATTTTTAAAAAATCGTCAATTTAGAAGGGACAAAATATGTAGAAATCTTTAAAAATAAGAGACAAATTACATGAAATTTAATTGATTATTGATCGATAAACTTCTAGAGGAAGTAAAACAGAGAAACTTCATATAATTGAGAGATTTTTGAAGTTCTTTTTACATAAAATTTTCAAAACTCATATATATAATAAAATAAAGATAAAATAGTTATTAACCCTTAATTTTAATAAAACTCCCCCATCATAAAATTAAAGCACCATACTTTGAACCTTGTTAAAAAGAAGAAATTGATGTTACAGCAAGCAAGCTTTATGCATAACTTAATTCTGCTTTATGGGGGAAAGAGTGATGAATCAGCAAGAAAAAGGAACAAACTTCAAAACTAATTAATATATTCAACAAAAAAGTTAATCATCCAATAATTTAAAATGACTGCAGTAATCTTGTTAGCATGTAAAAGATTCTGATTTCTGAGTATTTTTAAATTACTTAAAAAGTAACAAGAGTAAAATGGGTTATAAGAATCTTAATTTAAGGTACTAAAACTATAGATTCACTCACACCTAGTAACTGTCCAGGTTGTCATAATAAGGTGCTACACTGACACATATGCCATGCATGTCTGACAGAATGACACTTCACCACCTACTAATGTTTTTATCAATTTTCTATCACTCGGTGTTTGATGGAACTATTCTAATTTTCTTTTTCAAATACAGTAACTTTTTTCCACTTGGTCTCACTATTAATCTCCTTTCTCTATAAAGCTGCTTATCTTACATCAATGCTTCACCCCTTCATTCTTCAAACCCTTTTTCAAAAAAGAAATATTAATCTTAGTGTTCCCTTTTTGCAGTTAGTTAGTGGTATTGCATGTGGTGAGGAATCACTTGGTTTAGCTTTATAATCTAAATCATTACCAACTTTATATCTTAAACTCCATCACTTATAGCTATATACTTATATAAGTATTCTTCTTCTTTTTTTGTCTATAAACATTTCTTTTCCAAAACCAGAATTGTGAGTTTATACATCATACACCAAAATGGGTGAGGAAGCAAAACAGGTAACATAACTTTCTGAAATTCTTAGTCATATTTTTCTCATTATGTACTTGAGTTATATTTGAGTATATTTTTATCATTGAGTATAGGAGGAACAACCAAAGGTTGAGGTGAAGCAAGAGGAGAAGAAAGAAGAAAAGTCTGAAGAAAAGCAAGTAGAAGAAAAGAAGGAGGAAAGCAATAAAGAGGAAAAGCAAGAAGAAGAGAAAAAGGAAGAGCCAAAACCACCATCACCATGTGTGCTTTTTGTGGACTTGCATTGTGTAGGATGTGCCAAGAAGATTCAAAGATCTATTATGAAAATGAGAGGTTCATATTTTGTTAAACTTGTCTTTTTTGTTACCAAATGTTTTGCATGAATCATGTGTACTCATTTTTGTTTTGTGTTTATTTTTTAATAGGAGTTGAAGGAGTGGTAATTGACATGGCTAAAAATGAAGTTACTATAAAGGGTATAGTTGAGCCTCAAGCTATATGTAATACAATTATAAAGAAAACAAAGAGAAGAGCAAGTGTTATATCTCCATTGCCTCCAGCAGAAGGAGAACCTATTCCAGAAGTTGTTAATTCTCAGGTAATCATAATATTTCTCTCTTTTCTATTAAGAGTCTTAGACAGACAGACAGATAAACAGATAAACATAATTTTAGATAAACACGATCTTATAAAAAATATGAAAAAATATAAAAATTATTTTTTTATAAACTATTTAGTTAGTGAAATACTTACAGTATAAATGTTTATCTATGAAACTTTGACACAGAAACGCGTTACTTCTGACATATTCTGATAAATATTTGAGAAAGTGAATTATTTGAGTTTAATTAATTTTATTAGCTTAAATAAGACAATTTTTTAAGACTTAAAATTGCTGTTTTTTTTTTTAGGTTAGTGGACCGGAAACAGTGGAACTTAATGTGAACATGCATTGTGAGGCTTGTGCTGAGCAACTCAAGAGAAAGATACTCCAAATGAGAGGTACAATTTGTTTCTTATTCAATATCAATATGATAGCTATAGTTTTATTTCTCACTGAAAAAGTACATATAGATAAAAGGGGAAGGAATTGACAGCTACTTTATTAATGATTAAATTCTCTGATGTCAATTGAAGTTTTTATGATTGTGACAATTAACTTCATGAAAAAAATTAGATAATAAAATATGTTGCAAATGGATCCAATAAAAGGATGAATCATCAATCCTGAGTTTGTGCATATCCATCTTTTCATGTTTTGTATCTATGAAATTGCCAAGTTAGCATTAATTGATGTTGGACCCTCTTATTGTAGACCCCATGATCCATGTTCTATGCATGAGTTTGTGATTCAAAGGGGGAAAGAAATAGTTAGGAGGGAGTGAAAAGATTCTGATAAAATGTTTCAATAATGTCTAGTTTTGTCAACAAATAGTGATTAAAAGTTTAACAACTTTAATCTTTTGTATAATTTATTTATTTTTTAAATGAAACATAGTTTTAAAAATTAATATACGTATCCGTAATTCCTAACTCAATTGGTCAAAAAAAATAATCAATATTGTTGAGTTGGAATATTGAACTTGGCAATTATATATCACGACAACTACAATCAATATTGTAATATCTGTACCAAATAAAATTGCAAAAGTCTTTACGTGTTCACAATGCGACCACGATTATTATATAAAATATTGTGTGTGTGAGTTTCTTATAGTTATTATAGGTGATTAACATGAAAACTTGTATCGGTTATTGTAGGAGTTCAAACAGCAGTGACAGAGTTTAGCACTGGGAAAATAATAGTGACAGGAACAATGGATGCAAACAAGCTAGTTGAATATGTCTATAGAAGAACCAAAAAACAAGCAAAAATTGTTCCTCAACCAGAACCTGAGCCAGAAAAGAAAGAAGAAGAAACCAAAAAAGAAGAAGAAGCTAAACCCGTAGCATCAGAAGAAGCTAAAGCAGAAGAGAATAAGAAAGAAGAGAAAGAAAAGAAAGAAGAGGGGGGTGAGAATAGTAAAAATGAGAAGAATAAAGAAGAAAAGGGAGGTGAAGAAAGCAAAGAAGAAGCAAAGAAAGAAGAGAATAATGGAGCTATGGTTAATATTGATGAAGAAGGAATGAAGAGAATGATGTATTATTATCAGTATCCTCCACTTTATGTCATTGAACGTATTCCCCCACCTCAATTATTCAGTGATGAAAATCCAAATGCATGTTGCATTTCTTAGTAATCTTTGGAGTTTAATTGGTGGATTATGGAGGGAAAAATGTGTTTAAATGGAATAAGCACTTATAATAATTAAGTTGATTAATGATTAATGATATATCGTTATGTCTTTTTTTTTAATGTACGTACGATATATTGTTGTATACTAGTTATAGATCAATGTAATGTTGTATAATGCATGTGATATATAAGTATCTTTTTCAAGTTCTTTTTCTATGCTTGGTCATGAAATAGTTAGTGGCATGTGGTTTTGAAAATGATATAGTAGTAAGTAACATGTGATGGCTGACAAAACTTATGATTGAAAAGAAAAAAGTTGGGTGCTATTACTGCCACATCCAAGAGGCTCACATGTTTTTGGATATACTCACATTATTAATGACTTCACTATAATTAAATTTAGAAAAATTGATATTCTTATACTAATAGTTACAAATATATAAAATAATGTGAAGTCATTAGAACTAAGTTGGTTAATGACTTCACCATATTTAATTTTTCACAAATATTATAATAATAATTTTTTTTTTTAAATATATAAAATAATTTTTTTATTTTTTATTTTTTAAATTGTATAATTAACCAACTTTATCATATTATTAACTAATTTATATATTTTATTAACCAAACTTAATCATTTAATTAACTATTTTTTACATAACATTAATCAATTTTGTTTTACCTTAAATTTTTTTTTTAAATATATAAATATTTATTAATCAATTTTATAATTTTATTAATCAATTTTTAACATTTTATTAATCAATTTTATTTTATCACTAAAAATCACTATTTATATATTATTTATGAATACTATTCACATGTCACTAATTCACTATTTATATTATTTATTTTTTATTTAAAAAAAAACAATGTTTACCGTATAAATAAGATAAACACTATTTTAGAGTAAATATTGGTGTATGACTGTATTGTAAGAATAACATTTGTGTTAAATTTAGGATGATCATAAAAATTTATCTTTAGAAGACATGTCCCAACAACTACACTTTATCACTTTACAAAAATTTTAAAAAATTTTAAACAGTATTTTACCCCTCGGTTTTTGTTAATAACCGAGGTAAAAAGTAGTACAATTTTGAAAATAAATAAAAATACAGTTGTTGGAGATCGAACTCATGATCAATATTACCTTTTTCTTTTATTTTTTAAATTTTTTTATGACCTATTACCTCGGTTTTATTAAAATCCGAGGGGTAAAATACCATATTTTTAATTTTTAATTTATGGTCAATTTGATGAAAAATTAAGTAACGAATCTTTGTCGTCATTTATAAAGTAACAGTGATCAAGACATTGTCAACTCATCAATCCACATGAAACATAAGTAATCCGCTTGAAACTCTCACTAGCCAATCAAAACATGAATGCCACGACTATGCATCTTTGATGTAAGATGTTGAAATTTTAACTTAACATATTGAAAACAATGATAATGAAAGTAAGAGCAAGAAAATAGGTTTAAGGATTCTATTGATTTTGTTTTTGTCGTTGTTATAGGTGTTGTTGATGATGAGGAAGATTTAGAATTTGTAAAAAAAAATTAGTGCTCTGCAGATTAAAACTTAAAAAAACATATTAAAATTAAATTTTTGTAAACAAGACTTTACCCCTCGGTTATTGTAAAAAATCAAGGTAAAAAATAGCACAATTTTAAAAATCCAAAAAATGCAGTTGATAGGGATCGAACTCATGACCAGTACCACTTTTCTCCTCGATTTTTAAATCACTGAAGTGTTAAGTGGGGACTTTTTATGACGACCTTATTTACCTTGTCTGAGTAGCTGAGATAAAATCCATTTCGCGTTCAACGTTACAAGTATTATTTGTAGTAGTGATTACAACAAAACTCAAACAAGGGATTTTCAGTCTTTAATTACTAAGAAAATCTTCGTGAAAAGAAAATATGAAAATAGAGAGAGTAAAAGTAAGATAAAAGATTTTCTAATTATAAATTCGGTGTAGAATGAAATGAGAAAAAAAACCTTCTTTAAACAGTATTTTTTGCTCAAAATTGAAATAATGTATGAGTCATTTTAATGATATAATTGATTAATCCTAGATGTTAATCCATTAAGGGTTTTAAAAGTACATTAAACCTCAATCCAAAAAAAAATTACTTGAAAATGGCTAGATTGTTTAATAGATTAAAAAATGTCTAATGGATTAAGAGGCTATTTACCTTGTTCTAATTGATTAGACTAAGTCCTTAATCAATTAGGCAGCGTAAAATCATTTTTAATTGATTAAAAATACTTCTTAATCAACTCCATACAAGAATTGATAGGTTTTCAAGAAGTTTTATGAAATCAGAGAGAGTTTTGAAAATATTTTTAAGTGTGTGATTGTCTTTGTACTTCAAGACTTACTCTTGATTGTTTACATTTAAATTGATCACTCTAACACGCTAAGCTCAGGATCAAGTGAGCTTTCACACTTTCACAAATTCAAATCTTCAAGTTCCCTTGCTTGATACAATGAAGACTTATCACTTAAACTAAAATTTGACTCTTCTGGCTTATGAGGCTTAAGATATCTTCCTTATCAGGTGTCATCATAAGAAGTTTTTCTTTGATAGTTGAAATTCACTACCCGTGTCACAAAGAACTCTCAAAATCCACAAATAGTTTGACCTATGGAGTTGTTATTTTCAAAAATACCTCTTCACCAGATCACCTATAGATGTTTGACCTATGGAGTTATTGTCTTCAAGATTGCTTCTTTACAATATTAATAAGTCGTATGACCTATGTAGTTGTCATCTGCAATTATACTTCATTAGTTTCCATCATCAAAACCAAGTAATGGTTATAATTGAAAGCACATAGATCAACATTCTTTCTCTTTTTGATGATGATAACTCATCTCTAAAGGAGGTGTCAAATAGAAAATGAGGGGTAAAGATTTAGAGTGATTAAACTTTCTCTCACATATAAAGAGGATATACTCTAGTCCCTTTAGAGTACACTTCTTATCCTTTGGAATAATAAAGAATGTGAGGAAAATATGCAAACACGTGGATCACAATAAAAATGCAAGAAACACTTAATATAAAGTAAACTTGTAATCATAAAAGTAGGAGGAAAAATAATTAATTACAACAAAAACCGATAAAAGTGAGAGATAAGAAAAAAAATCTAAACCAGAAAAAGACATAGATCAAAGACAACTAATCGTTGTTGCTATTATCATCAACTGAAGATAGAGAAAACACAAGAAATGGAGGTTCGAATTGGATTTTAAGAAAATATTCCTCTTTAGAAAATTATTTGATTGAACTATGAAAGAATATATAATTCAATAAATATAAAGAGACACATTCAGTTATTTAGGTTCACTGTTAACTATGTTACTCTTGTCCACCCTCCTCAGGTGATTTTGCCTTCAACAAGAACTTAATCCACTATAACCAAACTAATTACAGATGCACGGGCTATCCGTTGATGACTAATAATCAACAACCATTAACCCCTTAAGAAATCTGACCTACCCGGTCTTTCTTAACAGAATTTCACAATGACATGCAACCATTGTCATCTTGAGTCTTCTGACCAATGTAACATCCCATTTCTACCCAACAAATTATATGAAATCAGAGTTTCAAAGTTTCCAATGAATAAATGAGATACTACACATTCGGCTTATAACAATGACGCTTAATCACATTTAAAACAGATACATAACACTTAAAACTCGGATGAACTAACAGCAACATAACTTAGTCTTTTAAAACCAACAACTTTCATAACTACGCAGTGGAATCATAATATTCAACTTAAAAGGACATAACATCTTGTCAAACTGGAAACAACTTCAAAACAACAAGTACTTAACAAAAATCAACTTAAAATTCAGCAACAGAAGTAAAATAAGCAATAAAACAATAAGAGTTCATCCCCCTGAGTGTTACGTATCAGAGCGATGACACCGACTCGAACTACTTAAGGTAATCCGTCTTCACTATGGATTACCTGCATATTACCAACATCGGGGTAACATTCAAACAGAAGGGGTGAGATATCAAACAATATAATCAGATGTACAATAAATAATATATTAGAATTAGATCATACAATTCACACTTCACAGATTTTTATCAACATTTAACATAATTAATTCATCTACAAGACAACTTAGGATGCAACATGAAATGTGACTCATTTTTATGCACATGCATGTGGTACAAACAAAGTAAAACTCCCAACTTGATAATCTTGCCAATTAATAGAGGCAGCAACAAGGCATAATCCTTCAACTTTATATTTGCCAATCCAGACCAACTTGATATGCTATGTATGAGATAACATGATTAAAAGGAACAACAAACAACAGAAACATATAACAACATTGACATAAGTCTACAACACAATAATTTCCAATTATAGAGGCAATATAACATGATTCATCACCACCTGCAACTTCAACGATTAAAAGCAACAATATCACAGTAACTTATATACATTCCGATACTATTATCGACCAAGTCTTATTAATTTAATTCCACTGAAATATTCCACTGACCAATCATTTTTAGTTGAATCAATGAAGTTATTATTTTCTGACACTAATTACCTGTACTGCTATTTTAATTTATAGAAGTCTTTATGTTATTACTAGCCTACTACTACTGTTAAGGCCATCCTGCTAAATACTTACTAACTATATAATCTAGTCCAATCATCTAATTCACTAATTTTCTATATGAGCCAGTTTTACCATTTGTGTATTTAATATCTACTATTAACCAATTAATATGATAAGGTAACCAGCGCACAGGAAAAACAGAGAAAGCAAAAGAAAACAGAATACAGACATTTAGGGTGTGCCCCTTGTCACCCAAGTGTGCCCCTCGGCACAAACTAAAACAAACCATGCCACTCGCCATGGAGTTGTGTCGCTCGGCACACTCCTCTCCATACCATGTCATGCATCATGCTCGTGTGCCCCTCGGGACGTCCCTGCATGTTGTGTCGTCCAGCATAGCACTTGTGCCCCCCGACACAAAGTTTCTTTCACGCGGCTTCTTCACAGACTTGCTGATGCAAATACAGAATTCTCCAAATCTTCCTTCGATTAACAGTATTTTCACAACAACATGATACAACACATTACTATATCGACATGACAACTTAACAACAATTATAGATAAAATCTAACACAGACTATTATTATCAACAGTATTGCATACCAATTCAACATCAATTCAGGAATACATGAACACAGTTATGCGTACAACAATTACACCAACCCAATTCATACATATTATTCATCATAATTCTCGTTATAGAGTCAGAACCCCACCCTTACCTTGGATTGAAGGTCGCTCTACAATTTCCGATCCAACCTAGCTTTGCTTCTTTTCCTTTTCCTCTTCTCTGTACTTCTCACGTACTGCTCTAAGGCTTCTTGATCTTTCTAATTAACCTAATTTTCTTATTATTATAACTAAACCTAATAATAATATTATTACTCCTAATGGGCTCAACTTACACACCCCACATATTACTACTTTCAACCAATAACATAAGCCCAACACAATTATCCCATTAATTCCAACATTATTATTATTAATCAACTAATTAATTAATTAATAATAGTCTAACAACTTATACCAATAATTCTCAATATTTCACAACTTTTCAATAAATAATACAAAAATAATTTAATTAATTAATTAATTAAATAAATAGGCATTACAACCAACGATGGTCACTCAATGAACAACACAATGATACGTTCTTTGATCTCCACGAGATATAACGATCATTGACCCTATCAGAAATCTGATCAACTTGATCTTCCTATGAGGAATTTCTCACAATGACCCCCAGCCTGTGATCTCTTAAGAATTTTGACCTTCCTGGTTCCCTAAGAGATATAGCGATCATTGACCCCATAAAGTTTCTGGCCAAACTGGTCCCTTAGAATAGGATTTCATGTACGATGACTGCAACCAACGTCTTCTCAAGTGTTCTGATCTTCACTCGATCACTTGAGGAACCAACAAATTCTAAACATAATTGTTTTTCTGGAGATTACATGAGTACTTCTTATCAAGCAGAATAATCCTACTTTAAGTACATATTGTCTTTCCCAAAAAAGACAACTTGTACAATCTTCATAAGTCTTGCATGGTGAGAAAACTTTTGGTTCTTCTAACTTCTAATACAAGAGTATTATCGTTGAAACTGAGATTCACGTAGTACAATCCGGTTAACCTTAGATATGAAGGCTTCATATTCTTGAACAAAAAAGCCTTTACTAAGATTTAGACTTAGAGCTTCATAGAGATTGAAGATGTTGAAGAAAGATATATCCAAATGGGCCACTTTGAAAATATGTCGGTTGAGAAATAATTTGTCATGATGTTATTTTTGAGACTTGGAGGTATCTCCGGTAAAAGAAGTCTTCATTGAAGTCATGATGTTGATGATAGTAGCACCAAAAATGTAAAAGAAAGGCAAATCAAGATAAAATAGAAATTTTGGGATGAATGAGAAGAAAAGGGAATGTACCTTTATATAACCTTCAAAAAATATTTCAAAATTTGATTTGATCGAAGAAATTTAGAGCAGATTATAGGTATATGAGAATCACATCCTTTATTAGATAAACTTGCTAAAAATAACTCTATTAATTGATTAAATATTTTCGTTAATCGATAATAATCTTAATGAAGATTGATTCATCATTGATTCTTTATTGATTCTGGCTGATAAACAATTTGCTTCAGAGATTATATGAGGATTTGATTTTATGATAGATTTGATATTGACTTCGAGGCACCAAATTTAAAAATTATTTAGTCTTAAACGATTACACCTTAAGTTTAATTGATTAAGATGTGATTTTTATACTCATTTGTTTTATTTGGTCTTTTAAAGATAATGAGCTCTGGATTTATTTTTCCACCTCCTCCTTATTTGGTTTTACATCACTTTTGCAATACATTTTAGTTCTCATGAAATTGATTAGTAATGAAATAATCAAAATGGAATAGTCCATTAGATAAGCACTTGTTAGAGAAATAACATGAGTTTTATAAATTTAATTTTCTACCTAGGGTTTTTAACTTAAAACCTCAAAAAATTTGAGGAGAGATTTCTCTCCCTTTTGATCGATATGTAATCAGACTTTTTGATCTCATTCTTTCTACATCTTTGAATCGTTTGATGCAAGAGTTGATCTTGAAGAACTATTGTCTCCTAGATCGACTATCTTCTAAGGAATTTCTCAATAAACCTTTTTGATGAACTTCTTCCAAATAATTTCTCAAACATTAGATCAAATTTCTTAGACAAGTTTTCGAACTCATGCTTTGTATAACTTTTACTAATTTGCATTTTGGTCCTTGAAACTACAAATAATCCCTGCAAAAATGATAATATTTTTACCTTTTGTACCCGCATTTTTTTGTTCCTTTAGAGTTAATGGATTTAAGATGTCTTGAATCATACTCATTAGAACTTTTAAATCATGTATTTTAATAAAGCGAAAAGATTCGAGATGGCCATGCTTATGATATAAATTGCATTTATACACAATATGCTTGATCTTCTTCTTAACATGACAAATACGTATGAAAAATTTATTAGGTTGATAATCTAAATCAATTTTATTATAAGAAACATAAGGAACCAAAAAAGTTTTTAGCCAAAAAAAATTGAAACACCTAAATATTTGAGACTTTATGTTATTGTTAGGTTTAAGCGTGAGTGGTTTATTTCCACAACAACTATGAATGAGTAAAATGTTGAATTTATAAGAGAAGTGACTCATATACACCTAATGACTTAAGGTTTTGGAAGGAGATGCATTATCTCCCTATGTTGTGGTCCTAAAGCTTTGATTTTGTTGTTGCTCTCAACTTCTCTAGACTCTCTAACAAGTGTTATAAAAACCCTGATTCAACTTAGTAGGGGAACGAGAGTTGAATTCTATATTGAATCCTACTATAGGAGGTGGAAACTCACATTTGTGATAAAGATTGTGGAATTTAAGTGTGATTGATTAACTTTCACATCGCTTATGAATGAGTAAAATATTAGATTTATAAGAGAGATGACTCATAGATCTAATATCATAAAATTTTAGATAAAAGCACTGAGTCCCTGTATTTTATGGTCTTAGAACATTAATCCTATTGTTACTCCCGATTTTTCCAAACTTCTCAACAATTGTGAACCTACTTGCATAACCACATTATCTCAAAGACCGTAGATACAAAGAATCATCGTATATCTAAAATGCATCTTAGAGCTTGATAAAAAAAGATAATCATAAAGTCCATATTTGATTAATTGATAAAAGGAAAAATACAAGTTATGTACATATTCCAAGCAATTTATAAAACTCAATTGTATTTTGGGGTGGCAAACGAGCATGTCCTCCCCGTTTAGATCAGCGCCGCAATAGCCCGCAAAATAACAAAGCGAGGCGGAGCAATTATAGTTGAGGATAAGTGTTTAAAATCTAGGTCCGCTCTGCAAAAAAGTGAGTGCGGAACGGAGAAAGCCTGCAGACACTACACCTTTTAAGCCTAAAAATATAAAATTTTATGTTAATATTCATGTTCGCAAAAACCTGTGAAAAAATAGGATGGAACAAAGAGGATAAATTAGAGAGTAAAAACCTAAATTTTAGATCCGTCTCACAATAAAATGCAGATAAACAGATATACCCAACATACCTCATCCATTTTACCATCCCTAATTATTATAACCTATTGAAAAACTAACCTCTAACTCTCTAAGTTATAACACAACTTCAATATATTTCTATTAAAATGAAAAGACAAAAGCATGTGCATGTCATTAGCATCAATCGATGATTAGTACACAAATCTTCCATTTTGCATATAATAATAAACCATTAAAAAGCACAATGACCATGTCCTAATGCAAGGTTAGGTTAACGAGTCTAGTTAGTTAATCAATTAGTTGTATATATTTGAAACTATCATCAATTTCCTTAGTACTTTCTTCTTTGGTAAGGAAAACAGCCCACATGGGAGCCAATCTCCAAAATTTTCCCATTCTCAATATGAAAATAAATAAGCAAAGGAGAATACAATGTGCTACCTACTTTTTTATTGGTCAAAACAGAGTTGCTGACACAGCTTAACAGTCATCCACGTCACACCACACACATTCAACATATATGATATTAATTTCATTAATCATAGGCATCTAAGGATGACTTAATTTGCCTAAATAGATCTTACTTTTAGAGCCTAATATAAAAAAAATATTAAAACTTTATATTATGTTTATTAGTTAATTATTCTTGTCTAACCCTTCCGTTGTTAAAAAAAAGGTACTAACATGATTTTGAGTTAGATTAGAGGATCAGTAAAATTGGATCAATAAAAAATTGTTTAAGTTAAGAATTAAACTTGAATTCTTTTTTGAATGATTAATTCTTAATTAAACTTGAATTAAAAAATTATAGTGGTAAAAAATAAAATGACAGTAGACATTTCAAATAAAATATGACTCTTTATTCATTTAAGAAAAAAAGACTCTAAAGGCAATATCACAACATCTCATAAAGGAAACAATTGCAAATGTTAAAGAAGATAAAGGAAAAGGATAATACTATGAAAAACTTCTTTTTAAGAGAATCTAGTGAACTTTATGATCTCATTATTCATATCATGAACAAAAACATTATATAAGGCTTGGAGAGACACATTAATAGGTAACAAGATAGTGTGTGAGTTAAAGTTCTTAATTGTGAGAATGTCCAACATGCAAATTGTCCCAGCTTACAAGAATATTGTGGAGGCACAATATGTTGAAATGAAGGTACCCTTGTATTCTTATGGCTGTGAGAAGAAAATCAAAAAAAGCTTATCCAGTCTCAAAGGTAAATTTAGCATAAATTTAATTTTGTGACGGTTTTGAAGCCATGCATAATTTGAAATATTTACAGCCACATGAAATTTAGGTAAAATCTTTTATCTTTCTAAAAATATTATTTGAAAGAATTCGGAAGAAGAAAAATGTGCAGACATTGTATAAACATGTTTTGACTTTTGAGTAACAAGCTGAAAATTGATTATATGGAGGTATAATATGTCATTATATAAAAGATAAGTTGAAATAAAGTGTACCAAATAATTCTTGTGATGTGTTTTTAATAGATTTTGAACAATTTATTAAAGGTGAAAACCAAATCTTACTTACTCACCAACTCTTTCGTAATATTTTTGCACCTCATGTTATTTCCACGGGCTTTCAAACTTTCACATCATATATTATTGGGTTCATTGAATATTGATGCTTGTGGGCCGTCGAATACAGATTATATAATTTCTGAGGAGGGAATTTCTTTTTCCACCAACCTTCTTCCATATCTTTAGCGAAAAATTTAAAATATCTCTAGACTTTAAATATATATATTTAAAAAATACTAAATTTAAATTTTTAAGAGTTCGTTCCAATATACATATCCGAAATAATTTAATATCTCAAATTTCTTATGATATATATAAATTTCTTATGATATATATATATATATATATATATATATATATATATATATATATATATATATATATATATATATATATATATATATATATATATAGTTGGTATCTATAATTTATAAATTATTTATCATTTTTTATAAGAATTTATTCATTTAAGAATAAATATCCTATTTTAATATTATTAATTATTAATAATATTTAATTTTTGATTCTAATATAAATATTTTATTATATACTAGTAATAAATTTTTTAATTACAATATAATAATTATTATCAATTCTATAATAAAAATTTAAAATGTTATCTAAATTAAATTAAATTTTTAAAATACAATTAAAAAATATTTTTTTATTTTTTTAATAAAAAATTATTAATAATTTTAATTAAAAATTAAAAGACAATAACATTTCACTATTATAATTAGAAATTTAATTATTATATTTATTGTTTAATTTCATATCATAAATTCACTTTAATATTAAGTTTTCAATTATAAATTTAAGTTATTCTTTATTAATATTATAAATAAATATTTTTTCAAAATAAAATAAAAAAAATTTATAATATTGAATTATTTCGGATATGCATTTTTGAAATCTCCCAAAAAATAAAATATATGGTTTGTTCGAATATGTATATCCAAAATAACTTAATATTCCAAATTCGTAAGATGCGTTCGAATATGTATATTTGAAGAGAATTTTTGAGTTTTCAGAAGCTTAATTCAATATAATCAGGTGGAGAAAGAAATTATGAGTTTCTTTTTCAACCCTAGAACGTAAAGAAATACTCTATGTATTTCTAAAAATATATCTGAAAAATCAAAAATATATTTTTAATATATATATTTTTAATTAAATTTTAATTAATCTCAAAAATATATTTCCAAAAATATTTATGACGTAATTTATTTCCGTTTATTCTAAAAATACATCTTGGATATCTAGTGTAACTTCTACTATATGGCACATCAAATCACACATACAACATGATGAAATAAATAAACAAATCATATTCCTTTTCTAATTTTCTTTGACTTGTAAACTACACAGTCAATGTTACCAACTCACAAAAACGTAACCATCAAAATAAACCAATACAAGAAACCGCCTTGAATTTCTTGATCACAATTTTTTTACAGCAATTGAATTGAATTGAATTAAACTAAATTTTTTCCAATGCAGCACTTTCATGATTTCAATAAAACTGTAACAGCAAATAATATTCATCATAACAAAGAAAAAAAATCAAGAATACTAAGTAAAGTGTAATTCTTTCATCAAGAAAGTAATTGATTGATAAAGAATTCAATGTATACAGAATATAAGTAATTGATTGATAAACATCTTTATAAAAATCATTTAAAAAAATCATTATTTTAAAGGTAAAACAAACTTGCTAAACAAATTATATTTCAAACAGAAACTGGTATAGTCAATAAAATACATACTTGCAAAGTCTAACTCATTGTGTGAAATGGAATATTTGTAATTTAAGAAATTGTATTATTGTTCTCCATGCTAATTTCTAAGTCAACAAAAATGAAATTGTGCCGATCTAAACAGTACTAACTTTTATCAAATTTAAGCCTCCAATATTGGGTCCAATTGTCCTTATATATAACTTTCGGTGACATGTTACTGTGCATGAATAGTGAAGTTAATTCTAAACTCATCTAAAACTAAAACTCTCCTACCTTCTCAAGTTTTTTTCTAGTTTATTTTAGCTAAATAAATTGGTATATTTGTGGCAATTTGGCAGGCATATACTCAATAAATGTAGATCATGGTCAACAAAAGGTGACGGTTTGGGGAATTTGCAACAAATTTGATGTGTTACAAACCGTTAGAAGCAAGAGAAAAGATGCTTGTTTTTGGAACCAAGAAGACAATGTTGAATTAGAAAATTCACAAACACCATCCTCACCAATTCCATTACCAACTTTTCCTCACAAACATTTTAAGCCTTCTTTATCTTTAACTAGGGTTAGGTCACTAAGTTTGAAGGCATGGAAAAAAGTCTTCACCAGATCATATTCTTTTTAAAAGGAAAATGTGAATTAGAAGAAGTGAGAAACACTAGTTAAATATGTTTTGTCTCTATAAAATTATCAAAATTTGCTTTTAATTTATAAAAATTGTTTTCGATTTTTAGTATTTAAAGTACTTTATAGGGCACAATTCTCTACTTTAGTCCACTAAAATACAAAAGTCGTCTGAAATTTGTGAATAAGCCATGGCTCTAAAACCGTTGCTAATATTTGTGTTGTGTTTTTTATAAGTAAGTTTAAATTACGGTTTTTATAAAGCGAGGCCAAAAGAACACCAATTTAAAAAAAGAATTAAGCCATATCTTTTTGCATGTTTCACCGTCAAAATATAAGGGGTAATTGAGAATAAAAAATCAACTAAATTAAATCAAAATAATTTGATATAGATCTATTAAATTAAACCACAATCAAAATAATTTGATATAGATCTATTAAATTAAACCACAATAACTTGACATGAAGTAAGTAGCATGTGTGTAATGTCAGTCAAATGTTAAAAATTGGAAATAATAATAATTTATTATATAAGAATTTAAATAGTTTTAAAAAAGACACCCTTAATCTTGCTATTCAATAGTTCATGATAGCTCTTTATAATAATACCACGTCTTTTTTTACCCCTCTTTCAACTAACCAACAAATAATTAGCTTCTAAGGATGTTATTTTGCCAATTCTCTTCTTGATGTACCGCTATCGCAAACTGGACACAGTAGAAATGTTTAAGCTGCAATTGAACTAATCTTTATTACCACACTTTTACTCAGACTTGATCTGCAAACTTGACATAGAAATCGAAATGTCCCATCGACTAAGAAGTATGGGTAATACAACCTAACTCTCTCACTTCCTTTCTTTGTTACTCTCATCACGTCTCCATCTACAAGGTGATTATCCTACTATTCACACTACCAACTGAAAAGGAATTTCGATTTTTTACCTCCAGCCAACCCTATCTAAGACTCTGCAAATGGCGAGACCTTTTGACAACATAGGCGACAATAATGAACTGAAAGATTTATGGAAGTGTTTACAGTTATTTCTGGTAAACAACCGCTAGTCCTCCAAACTATCAAATAATCTTAATGACTGTTATTTAATCTCTCTGGTAACTTGCAGGATCGACTAGATTGATCATATGGTGTATTGGTCGTTTGGATAATTCTCATTGTAGAACTGATATTCATGTTTGGTATTTAGATTGTTATGTAGGTGTTCAACTTACTTCGATTACTCTATTAAAGATCTAATGACATGATCAAGTAAATACGTGCGAAACTAAATTGCATGAATAAAGGTTCAATTGTAAAGACATGTAAAACTGCAAAAAGACAAGTAGATAACTTCGAAGTATAAAAGCATGTAATGTAAAAGCGTTTCTGAAATGTAAAAGATTCGAAATGAAGAGAAAACGTTTAAATGCAAGAAATCAGTAAAATGACTTTGGATGAAAAGGGTATTCGAATGATAAAAACATGAAGATAACAGCATAAAAGGTATAAGATTTTCTGAAATGTAAAGTATTAGGAATAGAGGGAAGGATTTTTAAATGCAAGGAATCAGTAAATGACTTTGAATGAAAAAGACTTTAATGTAAAGGTTTTTTGAATGATATTGACATGAAGATAGAGGATAAACTGGAAATGATAAAGAGTTTTGCTGAATCATAAATATTTGGTGTTATCATACGTACATTGTTCGAGCATTCGTTTCCCTAGCCATGTGGTATTTTGAATGTTTACTGAATTTTGTACAATAGATATGACACACGAAATCCTAACGCTAAGACTTCTATTTATACTACTTCGACCATAACGGTCTTGCCTATAAGATTCTGCCACGTTCAGAACATGCAAAGCAATGCCCCTCTCTAGCTTCCACGTGTCTTCGAATGCTCCAGCGCATATATTTTAAATTTCGAACATCCCGCTTTCGTTTGAATTTCAAATGTTTTGGCCCTCTTCGCTTCGAACTCATTTCTTGGACACAGCCTTGCTACCACTTCGAGACTTCTTTGAATATATCCCCATAACTGTCACTCGAAGCTCCGAGCTTTGACATTCCCATTCGAAGCACTGCTTCTACCATTTCGAAACATGACATCTTGATTTATTCCAACGAAACACCCAACTTGCTTCATTCGAACTGTACCACCAAAATCTTCAGCCAACAGGAAGGTCGATGTATGGATACGTCACAAATGGACGGTCCTGACAATTAACAAGGAGCATTTCGAGTTGGTGATAGTAGACAAACATGTGAGTTTCAATGTTCTAACCCGGTAGTCTCTTTACTTTTATGTGTTGGTTTTATGGGTTATTGTTGAATGTTGTTGAGTATTACTATTTTAGAAAGATGTATAATTTTTAGATTGGTTTTTTCTCTGTTCGTTTTTTGCTTTGTTCATACCCGTGTTCCATATGATGTTTAGTTTGGAAGATACTTTCTTACAGGGTCATGATATTCAAGTGGTTGTTTCAAGTATTTATAGGCAGATTTTTTACTCTGTTTTATTGGTTAACTCGACATGCACCATGTCAAACTTCCAAGTGGTCCCTAACGACTTGCTTTTCAAACCTAAGAATCACACATTTATTTTGAAATTCACTGGTGGAACTACAGTCGCAGATATTGGAAAACATGAGATCCCTGAAAAGACGACAACCTTGAACCCTTTTGTTGATATCATTTCAGGAAAATGGAAGAAGTCTCTCCTAACTGGTATGATTCCTATATAAATGGTTTCCACTTTTATTATATTTACTTGAGTGAATGCTTCATTTCACAGTACTACTGGTATTTTTATTTAGATATCATTGGAGTCGTAGACGAGGTTGGATACTCTCAGTCACGGATGGGCGGCAGAAAGGCTCGGATCAACTTCATCTTGAGAGACTTAGGGTTTATTTTTATATCTATCCAGATACCAAAATATAATGATAAAGCTTATACGTCTACTCCACACACTAAGTACTGATGTGTAACACTTTCACGGACAACACGTTGAATTGTACGCTATGAGAATCCTATGCAACACAATTTTTTCAGTTCAAACAAAAACAAGTTGATCCATCTGCACCTACTGTGATACTCTTGAAGTTTGCAAAAGTGAAAGAAGCAGGTTGACATGGTCTGCAATTATATTTCAGTTGGTTTAAAGTTGTATGTTACTTATCCAACTTTTTACTTTGTAGGATTATATCCCCCTTGCTGTTATTAACACGTACAATGTATCCAAACTATACATCAATGAAAATATCCTGGAGATTTCTTACTTTCTGTAACAGTCCTTACCTTTAAATATTACTATTTTAATAATGATCAATGTTAATGTCTTTGTCATGAAATTTTAAACTAATTTTGCATGTCTTTGCTTCTTATGCCGTCAGTTTGCCAAATGACTCTCAAATGGGGAAATTAATAAGCAGCACTCGCAATAGCACGCGTGCCTACTCACAACAGTCTTCAGGCTATCACTTTTCCCCACTTATAAGTTACTTTCAAAAGTTGTCCAAATCCTACTCAACGAAATAACGCTATTAACCGAGGTTCAAACCACCATTATTTTATTTGTCTTTTGTCATGTTATCAAGCGTTTTCATTTCATCTGTTACTTATTATAATTTGTTGTGCAATCGACATTCTGCGCAATTGTAGCTACCACATACAAGTTAATTGCCGATCCTAATGGATGGCACTCTATGGCATGTCCTCACGCTGCGAAGGGTGACAGTCCATCATTCATTTGCCAGGATGGACACCGAACTGTGGCAGAGATATGGAGGTTAATGTTACAAACATATTTCAATAAATATGGTCCTTTTTGAAAAATTTATGACTCTGTGCTTTGTGTTTTGTACCGTAGGTTTAAGATTGTCATTGGAGTTATCCAAAATGGTTGTACTAGTAACTTTGTGTTCTGGGACCGCGAAGCGGGAGAACTTATGAAAACTTTGGTTGCACATCTTCGTTCAACTATGATAGAGGTAAATGCATTGTCGCTTTATGTAATTTTTCACGTCCACCCATGAAACACGTTATACATTGTTATTTGTTGTCGTTTCAAACATAGGCTAGAATAACAGAGCCACTTGAGTTCCCTCTGGCGTTGGATGCAATGCAATATTAGGGTTGAAAATTGCCTTCTAGGTAAAGTGGATCCCTTGATGGAGTAGTGCACCCATTGTCATGTATCTTAAAGATGATGAACTCTTCAAACAACTTGAAGAAAATGAATACCTTACTGGAGTTGATCAGGTAAGCACACTGTATACATGAAATACCTCCAAATTAGGATTTATGTTTTACATTTACCATTACTGAATTTCCTACATTGCATCAGACAACTTCCACCATTGATGTCGCAGCCCAGTCAATTCAAGTATTGTATTTGGGCTTATATTTTGTTATCCTTTCGGGAACACTCACATCATTCTTTTGATACGTTTCGAATGTCCTTTACTTCTTTGTTTCATATCATTTTACCTTATTTTCCTCCAGATGTTGGAGAGTGTCAGTGAAGACGTCCTCTTTGAGAAACAACATGCAGTGACGATATGTTTATTATCATTCTACTAACCTGGTTACAGAAGGTGTAATATCTTCGGCCAACATTTCTGATCCTGGTACCCCTACACCCAACACGAAAAGGATGTCACCCGATGATAAGACCGACTCATCGATTAAAAGTCTAGGTGAAGGGGCCTTTCGTCTACTAAGGTTGAGAAAGTGGCGAAGCGGGGCAAAAAACAATAGTTTAGACCTTACAGTTTGCAGCTACATAACAATCTTTTTGGTGTGCATTGAACAACAACATGTTTATGTGTAGTATGTGAAAAGCTTCAATCCAGCACAATTTAATTAGAAGTTTTTGTTGTAAAAAGGGTTCTCAACCCCTAACTCTCTGTGCTTTATAATATGGAATACCTTCTTTTGAAAACTATTTTACTTTTTGGAAATGATATTATATGCAATTCATGTATTACTAAATGATACAA